ACTGTATGTTGTGTAAAATGCCTGCGCGCATAAAGATTCAGCTAATGGCAAAACCATATCCTTTTCTTTAAACCTTAATTCCCCCCAAAGCTGTGGGCTACATTTTCAGACTTATGTTGTAAAAATGTCTAGTTTCTCCAGCTTCTTTTTGTTCTCTTTATTATTTTTTTCAACAGACGGATTCTTTTGATCAGACAATTCCAAGTTAAAAAGCTGTTACTTGTTACCACACGTCTTCTATAAACTTTATAATACTCTATACTGTTAAACAAAAAACGGGCACGGGAAATTTAATTTACAGACATTTCATCAGTGTAAAGGAAAATTCAAGGAAAAGAGTCTCATGTTTTTAACATTTAAAAGTTACTGCAATATATAGCAAGCCAGCACGTGTGCTGAAACTTATTGTAGCCAAAGACTATGTTAGAAAACCACATATTCTGTGTGCAAACACAACAGGATTACCTTTGTAATACTGAGTTCTAGGCATGCATGGTGTCAGGGTGGATCCCGTAAGAATGTACTGGTACACTATGTACTTAAGAACATAAGAATAGTTAGAAATGACAGTAGACCATTTGGCCCATCTAGTCCATTTGATAGTCAGTAGCTGAAAAGTCCAAGAATCCCATCCAGTCATTTATTGAAAAAATGAAAAGCAATTTCACTGGAATCTCTACATAAATGCTGTAACATGTGTACAATTGAAGTGAAACAATTATACAGCACTCAAACAAAATGAGAACAATTTTCCTTAAATTGTCATTCAATCTAAGTAGTTTTAGGAATGTCCTGCAAAAAGTCTGTTGTTTTCTTTAACGGTAAATTCTCTGTTCTCTTGAGGCTGACCCCCAGGAGTGACTGGGTGGAGAGCCAGCAAGCATCCAGCAGCGTCAGGGGCCCGACTCCTCTTCTGGTGCACACTGTGGCCGAAGAAACCCAGGAAAAAGACCGTGGCCGTTCAGGCACTTGATACCCTGTTTCTCGGAGAGCAAGAAGCAGTCTCCAGGTGGCTCAGGATTCTGCAGCACACTCTGTGTTCATTAAAGGGCCCGACTGCAGTTTGTTTTCAAAATAGTTGGGGAAAATGTTTAAAGACTGCCTTCTGGTAATTTATCCATACCGTCATTAAAATAAGACCACTAGAAAAGAGTAGTACATTAGTCTTGGCTAAAAAACATTTTTACAAAACACTTTTATAATCCATTATTTTCTTTTCTTTTCTTCAAAAAATGCGTTTGTTTTCCTTTAGTCAGTTTCTGCTGACTCCATCACTTCAGAGACTGCTAACCCAAGGCATCCTGAAAATCTCTATATGTACCACTCCATTTAGTCATTGTTTGCAAACCATGTGCTTCTTCAGATAGAATAACCTGTTTTTATTTTTTTTTCTGTTTTTCAGTTTCAAAACATTTATCGGTGAATGTGTACTAGTGGCATAGTGGTAATTTTACAAGCTGTTTGCTTTCTGGAATCAAAAACGGTCAACACTGAAAGTCTAGTCTATACACTGGATTCTAGGGAAATTTAAATGTACATAAATGTTTTTAAAGTCACACTATTTTTAAAGCATCTTATTTATCTTAACAGTTAATTTCAATTACTTCTGTTAAATGGTTTTTATGACTAAGGATTTTAAAGTGCCTCCAACTTTTTATATAAAAGACATGAATTCAGTACATGTATATTACCTTCTCCCCATTTTAACTAGGCTGTGTAAAACAAACTACTGTAGTATGTTTGTGTGTGTAAAGCAGTAACTAGTATTGAATAAGCATGCACATTCATTTTCAGTGTTGTCTAAAATCCTCATACCACTTGAGAGAAGTGGCATTTCTCTTCAAAACAGATAAATTGTTTATCGCAGATTAAGTATTTGTTTAAAAATATGAAAAATGCTACAAGGTTAGGGGCATTTGGAACCAGAGAGCCATGTCTCTGGGACCTGAGATCAGGAGCAATTCAGTGATTGGTTTACTCATCAGCGGTCAGGCCATTAATTGCTGGGAGTCATTAGAAAAAACCTATCCCAGACCCTCTGAAACAGTAGTGTTAACAGGCATTTAATACTATGAAATATCGTTGTAATGGAGGAATAAATTCAATGTTGCATTCTGGGACTTCAAACTTTATTTTAGTTATAGGATTGTTTAATCAAAAATGTAGTCATACATTTAAAGCATAGGACAAGTTTAAACCAGTTATTACCTGCTTAACGCTGTTGAAACTTTAATACCACACTTTAATAGAATGTATAATATTTAAACTATTTTCTATTTGTATTTTGTGCTTGTGTGCAGTAGTTGTGAAACATTTGTTTTCTTTCTGGGTTTTGTTTTGTGCGAGTTGCTGATGCTAGAAGCAGGAGCTCACTGCCTTTGCTCAAACAAAGTGCTGCACAGGCAGCTGTTTCTTTTCTTCACTCTCCTGAACATGTATATCAAACACTCAGCCCTGAGGGGACCGTTTACTGTGCGGGCGTGAAGAAGTTTACCTTGAAACAGCCTTCTAAAGTGTTTGCTGAGTTGTAGAAAAACCCCTTGAGATAGAAGGCTAAATCACTAAATTCATTACTCTTGTCATCTGAATTATGAATTTAAACCCTGCTGTCAAAAGAGAAGATCTTGAGAGTTCAGAATGTGTCATGCTATGATTTAAGCTATGTAATGGACCAGCATTTTTTTTCTGCAATGATTTTATTGTTCTTTAGAGATTAAACTCGGATAGACAAACCTTAAACTAGCCTGATTTATGTACTGTACAGTATACAGTCATACGCTTGATGAACTATAATCAAATGCAAATTAAGCATGGAATTCTAGGTGTACATGCCATGAAAACTGAACACTTGCATGACTATCATCAATATTATAAGTGTAAACTGACCATCAGTTCAAAATAATTGGATTTCTAGATGTACATGTTTGCAGTTTTTAGACCTTGTGATCAGTATTGTGTGGACCCTGATTTGGCTTTGATGACATCAAGGATGTGCTACCCATAACGTTTCCCCTCAGCAATATGCAGAACTTCTCCAGGGTGATCTGCTTTCCTGATTCACACCAAACAGTAGATCACATGCGCACAGCTCCAGTTCTGCAGAGCCAGAATCCAGCTGTATTTCTGGACAGTAGAACTTATTGGAAAGTATTGGAGTGAGTCCAGTTAAGTAATGATTATCTCAGCAATTATCATAAAGCATTGATGTGTAAGGAAATACAGTACTTCTATGGATGGTTAACTAGGGCACTGTGATGACAAATCAAGAATACTTATTTTTATGCCTTCTTAACCATGTGTTCAGTGTGAACAAGTCTGAGCTACCTGAAGAGAGGCACCACAATTTGGCTAACATTTCCTCGTACGCTTAAGAAAGTCTTCTGTTCCTCAGTTCTAATTAGGACACCGGGAGTAAAGTATGTAAACCAATCCTACAACAGAGCAGATCTGCCTCTGTTCTTCACAGAAGGAGTGACATCATTGTTTTTCAACATGAGCTATATTTTTCCATGCTAATCAGACTTTTGGTGAGACTGTCCAAAACACTCAATTTGTGTTTCAGCCACCCACATAATGTGGTCCTAGTTGACCTTGAGAATCAAGTTGATGCAATTTAACAAATGCATGTTGTTTCTTTTGATTTTGTCATGGAAGTTTGCCTCAGAATCTCGTTGATTAAGTCAACCTCGAATAGTAGGCTTGGAGACACTCATGATGCCAGAGGTTTTTGTATTTAGTATTGTTGCCCATTGGGTGAGATATGGCTCCCCAGACTGCAAAGTTGGGCTTAACCTTTGTAAGTTTGTTCCCTGCTGGGGTAGTTACTGTCCCATCAGCCTTGAATTTCTTGAAGCAGGGATGTGTTATATTTTTGGAACTGTCAGAGTTGTTGAAGTCTTTTTTTTTTTTTGGAGCTTTGGACACTATTCTGAGTTTCCCTTTGATGACGTGGTTACTGTGTGTTTTGCTTTTGTGTTCAATCTCCTTTAATTACCCAGAAACAATCAAGGTGACGTCCAGAAACATATGTAAACTTTCTGAGGCTTTCTGAAACATCCAGAGTCAAAAAGGCATTAGGGCATTAAATTGATGGTATTTTCATTTTGAAATATATGTAATTATTTTTGTAATGCTACTGATATATTTAGTTCTCCTTCATATTTATCATTTTAAATTATAAATGTAATTTACACCTATGTTGTCTTGCTGAATCAAATTTCAGTTGAAGTTTGCATAGGATATGAAAATGGTAGCTACTGCATGCCTTAATATCAGTCAGTTACAGAATATAGTAATCAAAGTTACAATAAGGGCGTAATTCATACTAAAACTACATTAAAAAAAGTATTTAAAGTTTTTCAGTACATTACTGCAAGTATTACTAACCAATAATATGAGTACATTAGTTGAAGGCAACACCTACTGTTGAATGACTTTGAAATGTTATCTTTGCATTTTTTTGGCTAAATCTATAAAGATCACACATTATATGGTAAAAAGTCCACAGAGAACTTTTTAAGAGTGGATTTTTAAAATAATGTTAGATCTGTGATCTCCATCTGAAAACCTTGTTACACTTAATCACAAGGGCTAAAACATAGGAAATGGAGGCTGTGCCTGTCTTTTGCAATTGAACATTGTAAAGTTAATTTTATTTTTTTTAATCAAAATTAACAATGTTATTGGGGAATGCAAAATATAAGCTGGTGTGATTTATCTTACAAATGTTCTATTTTTTTATTGAAAATTGTTCATTTTTGACCACAAATGAAGGGCTTGATATGGATTTTGTATCTTCTTAAACTGGAAACAAAGCAAATTAATACAAATGCTGTAATTTGTGATTTTCCTGCCACTGACAGATATACACCTGGGTATTTACACTGGAATTGTGGGATAATAGAGGAATCTTTTTATTCTTCCATATTGCATGTGAAAACATGTCTTTTTCCCTGAATCTGTATTCTGTATCTTTGTTCAATCATTTTATAATCATTTATAATTATAAATCTTGTTTTGTATTTGTAGGTTCACCTGTCTCAGTGTCGTGGGAATGACTTGAACACACTGTATTTAGGGTGGTTGCTGTTTTCTCTGCATTGTAGTTGTTCACTGAAGCTCTTCACTTCTTATATTTTAATTTGGTATGTTCAGTTAGGAAATGTTCTGAGAATTACTAGCAATATATGCACAATATTGTATAACTTATAAATGCTGGGAAAAGGCTTTGATTGAAAAGTAAGTACCATGCTTTTTTGTTAAACTTACATGGAGATCAGACTTTTTTTTTTTTGCATGAAAGACCTACAAAGAGAACACCTGTGGCAGCTACATTTGACTGGGAATTCACATTTTTTATTTTTGTAAGGTGTAGATTGGAAGTATTCATTTTGTATTGATTTGGGCTTGTGTTATTTGTCCTTCAGCTGTATCAAAGGGGTTTAAAGAGAGCTGTAAGACACTTGGCAAGCTGTGTATGAAATAGGTGAACAGCAGGACATCAAGCAATGCAATACATGCAATGGTAGAATCCGAAAGCCCAGACAATAGCTCTCAGAGTTGAGACAGAACACAGCCAGTCCTCTTTCATTTAGGCCTTTATATGCTGTGTCAGTTTTTTTTTTCTAGAAGGCATATAGGAATGTAAGCTTGTTTCAGGAGGCTTTTAGTGATTATGGTAGGAACCCTGGAGCCATAAGTGCCTATTCATGTCCCTGGCCTTTGCAGTGCTCTCTGTGTGCAGTTTGTCCAACGTGTACTGTACATGCAGGGCAATAAACGTTTTGTGTTGTGTTTGTCCTTCTGTCAATTTGCTCCATTTCTTACATTATTTGTAACTGCTGTTTTTTCTGTAATGGATGGAGTATGAGTTTAAAGTACGAGTCTTAATGTTTTTGTAACTACTCATCCATGACCCTTTTTGCCAAATATTCTTGGCAGTGTTTTTATATTAAACCATTGTCTACACACCAATGATAAAAACATGCTCTTAATACCTCCTTTTGTGACTATTTTTCTCTTTGCTGACTTGGAGAAAAAACGATGTCCTTACGTTTTGACTTACACTGCTACATAAGTTAAGGACATTTTAAAATGTCACATATGGAAATAAAAGTACTGTACATATTCCATGCATGTGTTTACACACTGTAGGACCACAAAGCATTAATCATTTGTCTCACCTTCAGAATTTTTCACTGGTCAACGCTATTGTGTTCAGATATTTTATCTTTTCTATTGTCCAGCTCTTTTCCATTCCACTTTTGGTCTAAATGGAATTCAGTTTTGTACCGATTTAAATTTGTATTAAAATAAAAATAAAAAAGCTTTGAAAGGAATACTGTTTTGTTTGGTTGATATTGTTTGTACGCTCTATATGCGCTGACTGAAACAGCTTTATTTTATGGTATTTGGCAGTTAAAAATACCTATGCAGTATTAAAAGTATATTTAAAAGCTTACTTGATATCTATACGTGCAGGGCTGAAAAACATAAAAGGCACCTATGTAATGACCACCTTCCTCAGATTGAAGGTTTACAGTTAATCCTGTTCACAGAAAATCTGTTTTACTAAACAAAGGTACCTTTTCCACCATTGTAAATCAAAATTTTAAAGCATTAATCATTTAAATTGCCCTTCATTAGATACTGATGGGTGTTGCTTCTGGCAATGTGACCATTTTATTAGCATTTGAACTGACAATGGAATAATCTATTTAAACAAATTTTAACCTGGTAAGAAATCCACAGTGTGGTACATCATGAGTCACAACACCTTCCTACCATGGACTTGCAGTGATTTGTGTCTACCTGACTGAAGGCCCCCACATTGACCAAGTCCTGGGATCTCACTTGCTACCCTTCCTGTGCACTCAGCCTAATGTGACAACATTACAATTTTCCAGCAGGACAACACATGTCCTCATATGAGTGTGGAACCCATCCAGAGTTAGTGCTGTAGATGCCCTACTTGCCAGACCTGAGACCTACTGAACATTAGTGAGGAAAAACTGGCACAATGTGTAGCATTTGAAGCTTAGAGACCAGTGAACAGGCACATGCTTGTTCAGGCTTTATAACAGGATTGGAACAGAATCCTACCAGACAGCAGTTCCAACATGTCACAGCTGTCACTACAAAAAAACTGCTATGAAAAACAGCATTGCCATTTTCCTGACAGCTTTATAAATCTACAGTTACTTTAATTGCAGTTAAGCAATGAGAGTATTTTGAAGCTTGCACATTCCATTAACAAACGTATCGTCACCAATTTTACGTTTTAATTAAACAATTTCTGTGATGTTCTAACATACATCATTTGGTAGGGATGTGAGTTGAATTTTTCCTGATTTTAAAACATCAGGCGTGTCTATACGGGTTAACAGAGTGGAGTGATTATACAGTATGAATATATAATCAGTTTTAATAGTGACAAAAATATTTCGTTGTTTATAGTAAAACTGCGTTATTTTCATCGGCCTTTGTACGTTTTACGAATTTTCAATCAGAAGTGCACCCAAACCGGTTTTCAATGACTGAATCCGGTCATTTTTCGCAAACATAGCTTTTACAAGATCATTTCCAGACACGTTCTACAAAGGAAAAGGGTGGCAATGTGATCATAATATAAAACGCATTAGTCCACATCCTCCGGGCTTCTGAAGAAGAGCACTAAAATCATTGGTTCACTGAGTGAGAGTGACAAGGGGTGTACACTAATTTTTTGTCTCTTCCAGGGACGTAACTCGGTGCGGAGTGGAGCTGCTCAGCCAAGCGATTTTGGAACAGATGCCGCTTTGTTTCAGAAAGTCATACGCTGCATATACAGAATGAAAACTTCAACCTACCTAAAGTATAACATATGCCTATAGGCTTGTGTAAAGGATATTTATAGAACTACGGCTGATTTTTGTGTCAAAATGTACTTAATGAATTATCCTAAGCTTCCAATAAATGCTGAGGGGGAGGATTCACGGTTACAGATGCAGGAGAGGTCTTAGAGATACATTCCGACCCCCACCCCCCCTCCCCATCAACCCTAAGGGGGTTTTAGTTTTCGTGATCCTAGACAAACATTAATTCACCAGTAGGAGACAGTGCGCACTTCACCTCCCTAAATCCTGCCTAGCTACTAAAACCATCTTTTCAAAGAAGCGCTGAGAAGCCTCACTGTTCTCTCTCGCGAGTTGCGCGGTTTGAATATGGTCTCCCTTCTGGCTCGTTTGCTCTTCTTTGCCTGGATGGTCCTTCACTACTGTGGGACAGAAAAAGTTAGACAGAGGGCTCTTCGCCAGAGGGACGCTGAATTCATTGAAAGAGTAAGTCCTGATTGTTTTGCACGTCTGTGTAGCACTTTTGAAATGAACAAGGACTAAGGATTTGTGTCGTTACAGAGACCCGAGTCATTTTTTTTTCTAGTGTCCCATAGTTTGTTCAGTTATGTGGCTCGTACTTCTTCAGCATATAGACCACCTCTTACATAGTGCAACCACACGTAGCCTTACTTTCTACACCATTAGACTTTACTTCATAACGGTTCTAGTTATAAAATACCACCAGTATTTAGAAATGTCCAAAACGGGACGTTCGTACACGTTGTTCCGTGTTTTTTAAAAGTTTTCTTTTAATTTACTTCGCAGCGTATTGCATAAATCTGTTGAACTAAGGAATACATATAGTCAAGTTTTAAACTGCTAAAATAGTCGCAGGCTTCCCTTTAAGAATAACGTCAAAAGAGTATTTGTTTTCTGATGTAGACAGACCATTTCTAACACGGATTTAGCGCAGCGTCATGGACCAGCATGAAGAATTGTCTTGTGATTTTATTGTGTTACCCTAGAATCCTACTGAGCCACCGACTCCCTAAACATCCTAAAAAAATTATTATATTTCGTTAGATTAGATTTTTGTGCACTCTTTATCTATTAGCATTTATTCACTTATAAGTTAGGTCAGCCGTAATTTTTCAAAGGGTGCTGTTGTGTAATGTACAGTACCTCTCCATCATTCAAAACGCATCTATCAGTCACTTAATGTTTGCAAAGTTGACGTACGCGACCTAATGTAAGTGCATTAATTGCTTAAACGATTTAAAAAGTTATGTCCTTTTGTTATTTTGATATTCCCCGAAGAAAAATCGCAGCAAAAACAGTATTGTTCTTTTCCAATGTTTTACATTGGCGCTGTGAAGGTGACTGAAAGGGGATAGGTGATGATAGCATCGGTTATCGATTATCATCACTGTGTCATCTTGATTAGATGCTGAATAATTCAGATGTGTAACCTTTTTGGGAGTATATGAAATTCAAAGCTGTTTATACACAGGCAGCATGGGAAGAGCAATTTACAACTCGTGTGTTTAGAAAAAAAATATACTCAAAGGCAACAGCATAGTTTAAGGCTTTCCGAACTTTCCAGAACAGTACTGATTTCCTCGTCCTCATTGGATTGTCTTGTTCTGGCTGGTTGCCACAAGTTACTGCATTCAGTCAATTAACAGGACAGGCATCAAGAAGACAGGACACAACTGCTGTCACTGCCCTGATAGAGGTACACCAGAACCTGGCCACAGAGACTGCCTCAGACCTGTCGGCAGTAAATTAACATGTGCTGTAAAGTAAAATAGTCCGAAAGAAAGACAGCTTTCTCCAGATTGGAAAGATAACTCACTGCAGCGCTGTATAGCACCGGAGGCGAAGCTGCCAAGAGTTTCCATTCTGACATGGCCTTTTCCATCTGGAATTCCTCTTTGCATTGAAGGAGGGGGCCGACCTGAAATACTGTATGTCAGGCAGGCAGTCCAGCCAGAGGGCTGATGCAATCCATTGGTCAAGCCAGGTGATGGAGGGAATCATAAAATGCCACAGGACTGGAAGGGAATACCATTTTGCTTCTTATGAGCTTTGCTGGTTGCTAGTTACAAGTCAACATTAACTCCTTAAGTTTTATGGAGAAAGATAATGCTTAGGTTCCTCCTAGACTTGCATACCCTAATGAGCATCAGACAGTCCAAGATTAGTGCTAACTACTGGCAAATATTCTGCATGCATTTGCAGCATATTGATAACAACATCCTGTAATGGGCAGTGGACTGGAAAACGGCATGTGATTTTGATGTACGTTGTTTATGTCACCTTCTAGTGCACGGGAAGTGATTCGAGCAGCCCGAACTGTACCAGACACTCAGCTGAAGCCTCTCGCCCCTTTCATGTAAATGTGGTAAACTTTTATTATAACCCTCCTGAGATCCCCTCTCTAGACACCCAGGCATGGCATTGTGTGCACCATATCCCTGCAAAGTTGCTTCTGTCTCTCCTGCTCAGTGCTGGTTTCAGTGCCTCTCACACGCCTAAGGTTTTGGTTCTTAACCTTGCATGCCTGAAAAGAAATGTAATAGTGATTTGCAATAATTTAGCGCAAGCTGAAGCCTGAGATGGGTCTTTCTGGGAAATTCATATAGGGATCGTTTTAACCCCTTCAAGAGCAGCTGCTTTTTCTCTCACGAGAGGAGGAGAAACTCCACCTGTCACTTGTTGAAAAGCTGTCAAAACCTTCAGTCCTTGGGGACTTTTGTGAAGCTGTCTTGACAAACCTTAAGAAATGTTTTCAATCTGAGATTTTTCAAAAGTGCACCGCTGCTTAATTGGAATTGCGTTTTCCTGTCATATGTGGATTTTAATTTTTCACCTCTGTGTTTGAATGACATAATTGAGCCATTCGTAAACCCTACTCCATGTCAGGGAGATTATATACTGTATAAGCAGCTGCTTTTCAGCTGAGGCACTAAAAGAATCCCAATTAAGTTCTTGAAAAAGAATTCCTCGCAATTAGAGAAAAAAGGTTTGCTCACAAATAATAGACATTTCCCTGGATAACATGGAACAATGTTTTTAACCAACACATAACATAAGAATGTATTTTGAGTAAAAGAAATAGGGAATTAAGATTTTGGAAGGGAAAGGAAACAAAAAGAATATTTTGTGAAGGAATCTAACTGACTTGCTCAATATCAAGGCTTTACTGGCAACATTACCCAACTGAATTGAAGTTTTTTATGTCTGTGGATACCTAAAGAAATTTCCTCATGATAGAAATGAGAAAGCTGACACAGTGACATAGTGATTAGCATTACTGCCTCACAATGCTGGGACTCTGGGTTTAATTCTGGACCTGGAGTGTTATCTGTGTGGAGCGAATATGTTCTCCCTGTATTCATGTGGGTTTTCTCTGGGTGCTCCGGTATCAAACCACAATCTTAAGACATACTGGTCGGTTAATTGGTTTCTGGGAAGCCTGGCCCTGGTGTGAGTGAGTGAGTGAGTGAGTGAGTGAGTGAGTGAGTGAGTGAGTGTGTGTGTGAGTGTGAGTGAGTGTGTGTGTGAGTGTG